TGAGGCTCCACCCCACCCAATGTTAAGGTCCACTTGAGCTGTTTCCAGGGGCTTTTCCATACAAATGGTTTGTCTCGGCTCAGGCTCCTGCTTCAGATTTTCTTAAATCTCTCAAACAAACAGCGTCTGGCCTCAGTGAGCCCCGTACCTCTTGCTAAGTGGCTCCAGGCCCAGCACTAGCAGCAGCCGGCCTTGGTCACAGCCTGGCCCTGCTTGGGCCCCTCCAAGAGCAGCACAGGTAGCAGCCATCTACAGATCACTGTGTAGCTCATGCCGGGAGGCCCGAGACACCACACAGGGGGTGGCTGACCTTGGCCTGCGCACCCAGCACGCGGCCTCAGACCATGTTGGAGCACCACCACCCAACCACCTCCACAAGTGACACACTGCCTGAGTCTAAGCCACAGTGACCCTGTGAGGGGAAGGGGCTGTTTATAAGTAATTCCAGTTTACAAATGAAAAAACTGAGGCAGAGCAAGAGGCTTGAATTCAAGAAGTTGCTACAGTTTGCTGAGGAACTGCCACAGGCAAATCTTTAAAAGCAGTTCATTGAATGCTCACAAAAAGTGGTGGTAGGTACAACTGTTGCCCCCATTTTAAAGACGGGGACACAGAACCTGAGAGAGAGGCAGGGAGTGGCCCGAGGCCTAAGACCCGAGAGGAGCTGAGCCTGGCGGCCTGGCTCCCCGCCGGGGGCTCTGTGCTCCCTCTGCCACGCGCCCCACCCCACGCCCAGGGCAGGCTCACCAGGGACCTCAGGCCAAACGTAAATTACAGCCTCCGGTCCTCATTCCCCTGGAAGGAAACAGAGAGGCAGAGGCAAAGGCAAGGATGGAGCAGGACACACTGAAAACGGAGAAGAGCAGAGAGGGGGACGGAGGCATCCGGAGAGGGGGTGGCCGTGGGGCAACTTCAGCCCTGAGCGCTGAGGCGAAGTTCACTGAAAGAAAGCCTTTCTGAGAGAAGGGCAGCGTCAGATAAACACCCTGCTGCGCCAGACTGAGCCTGATCTACAGGGAATGGCATTAATGTTGCCATGGAAACCAACTCTTCCCAGCCACTGTTCAGGAGCAGTTTTTAAAAAAGGAGATGGTGTTGTATGCTTCCTGGAAAAATTATTGGGGATTTCTTTCTCCTCCTTCTTCCACGACCTCCCAGTTGGAGCAGAGCACATCATAAGCATGGAGGGGGCATGAATCGATCGACAGCAGTGCTGATGGGGGGAGTCTTTCAATTTTCCAGAAAAACCTCTGCCTCCCTCAATGTCTTCTGACTAAGTATCACTGCCGGGGTCACCTCAGGCCCACCACGGCCTCTACCCAACTGTCCGGCTCTCCCTGCCCCCCCTCCGCGCCCAGCCAGCCTGGAGCCCAAGGAGTGTGGGCAGCTTCCTGTGCCTGTTTGACCTCTGTGCCCGGCAGGGCACAGGGGAGCCCTCCAGGAGCGTCCCTCCCGCCACCTCCACGACGTTGTCCCTGTGGCCTGGGGAGGCTCTGAGTGGTCTCCTCTCCACCGCCTGGATTCCCCCCGCCCAGCTCTGAGGCCAGTTCCCCCACGGGCCCCTGGCTGATATCCACAGGGACCCCCCACCCGTCAGAGCTTCTGCCCCTCCAGGTCCCCTGCACACCTGGGATGAGGTTCCCAGGGTTGGCAAGATGAAAAAAGTATGGAAATGCCACAAACAGAGCTTGTTCTGCAAACCAAGGTGCTGTTTTTAATCCCTGTTTCCTGACTCCCCTGACCCCTCCCTGCCGGCCGGCCGTGCTCTGTGGGACCCCGGCCTCCAGAACCCAGGCGGCCTTCCCCAGTTTAGCCTCTGGTTACAGTCTTCTAGACCCAACCTCCCAGCCCTCAGATATTCATGGGAGCAGCTAGGCACCCTCCTTTTTTTCTGATGAGAAAATTCTGATTCCGCCAGAAACAGCACGTGGACCCAGGCCACTGCTCAGGACAGCCAGTCTCCCACCCCATATACTCTCTCTTCCTTCCAGTCACACACCCATCGCCTTGGCGTGGTTTTTGAGGCCATGGAGTAGCAAATCCATTTGTGACAGTGTTTGGACATGTGTTCATTAAGTCTTTAGTTGACTCTGTAATTGAAAAAAAGAGTGGGCGCTTCCGAGTTGGCCATATGGGGCAACCTGCTCTGCCAGCCCAGACCCCTGGCCTGGCCGGGGCTGCCCGGCTCCCCATGCACGGACGGAGGCTGGAGGCCAGGGCCGGCGGGTGCAGGGAGGCTGGCCGCATGCCACGCTCCGCAGCCTGGGCAGCCCCAAAGGGCAGGACCCCTGCTTTCCTCCTTCTTCCCACCCACCATTGCATTCACTCACCGCCCCGGTGCAGCCAGGAGCTCGGAGGCTCAGGCGCCAGCTCTTCCCCGGCCCCGCCCTCAAGGGCTGCCGTCTGAGTTGGAGAGGAGGTGTGAACACAAACTATCAGCTACCGAGCAGACTGCAGAGATGAGCAGTCAGCGCTGAACGGCACCACGGGTAACACGCTGGTACCACAACCCGTGGGTTGGAATCACAGCCTGGCGGCTTCCTCGCCGCGTGAGGGGGGCCAGCCGCTGCCCTGCCTGGGGGGGCCTCCCCTCCTTCCTCTCCAAACAGGGGTGAGGAAGAGGAGACGGCAGCCACGGCGTCGATGATGGGGGTACCTACCTCACGGAAGGTATTTGAACTGAGACACAAAGACACGAATGGCCTGTGGCGAGAGGCACTGACGGCTTGCTAGCCTGCCATGAGCCGTGGGTGCCGAGTCTGGGGCTGAGGGCAAGCCGGGTCCTTTCGTGATGGCTGTGACTCTCTGAGGAACGAACTGCACCCTCAGCTGTGGGGCCCAGGCTCTTGTGGAAGCAGTCAAGGGGCAAAGCAGCCACGCACGCCTGGGTTTGGATCCCAGCTCATCGGCTACAGCCCTTGGGCATTTCTTCATCCCCCTGAGCCTCAGTTTCTTCATCTGTCAAGTGGGGGTCAAGAGCTTCTACCTTCCAAGGTGAGAAGATTGAAATGAGCTAATCATGCAAAGGGCCACACGCATTGCCCACCTTCCCCCGCAGGCTGTTGTCTCCCAGCCAACGGTATTATGTTGGTGGCACCCAGCCTCTTCTTTTGCACACCTGTCCCCACGTTTGACTCCACCTCTGGACTTCAGGGCAGTGACTATGCACCATTCATGGCTGAATGCCTGTGCTGGGCACAGCCGGGCCCTCCGTAGGTGCTCAGCTGGCGCTCACAGGGCAAAGGACGATGGGTATGAGGCAAGTGGCCAGGTGCACCTCCTGGTCCTTGCTTCTGACCTCAGCCTCACTTCAGGCCCCAGGTGCCTAATGATAGGGACCCTCCACCGCCCAACTGCAGCCCCAGCCTATCAGGGCAGTCTGCTGCCAGAGCTCACCCGGCCCCGGGGACCCCTGAACCCCAGCCTCTTCCCTGCTGTGCCCCCTGAGCTGAAGATCAAGTCGCAAAGGAAGGTCATGACTCTCAGACACATCCATCTTTATTTGTTTTCCATCAGAAAAGCTCAAGAATTACACCAAAAAATACTGCAGCCTCTGCTACCTACTGACAAAAATACACCACAGAATTATAAAGCGCTCAGCATTTGGCTAGGGACAATTTGTTATTCGGCTTTAGATGACAAATGAATTTACAGGTGACTTGAGGTGATGGGGCAGAGCGGTGAGGGGAGGGAGGGACGGTCAGTGGTGGCGTTTGGCAGGACAGTTGGACCCGCGCTAGTCTTGTGACCCAGCCTCTGTGTACGATGATTTCGGCAACATAGCAAAGCCACAGAAAATGCCCTTTATAGGGCCTGTCAGAGCTTCGAGGGAAAGCAGTCCTGCCTCTCACACCACCTGCTCCCCGGCCAGGACTGGCCTTGCTGTCCCGGAGCCGACGCCCTCCCCCAGAGCCTCCCCTAGATGTTGGCGGAAGAGCGCCCTGGGAGCAGTGAGGTGGTCCGGGGCAGCCGCGGGCCTGGCCAAGGCCCGGTGCTGCCTCCTTGTCAAGAGCTTCTAGAACCAGATCAGGGAGATTGACCTCAACATCACAGAGTGGGCGAGAGACAGCCATGCTTCCCAGCGTCCCTTAGAAATGACCTGGCTTTGTGGCAGCTCCCAGCTTAATGTCTCCCTGGCTGTCACCTGGTCATGACCTTTATTGTCTGGGAAACAAACGACCGAACAAAAATGTAAAAATCAGGTGCCTGTGCTTATCACGTGGACAAATGCCACATGCCCGCCCTGTCCTTCCTTCTTTCTGCAGCCTGGCCTCCCTTCTCTCCCCTCCCACCCCCATCGTCTCATAAAGGCGGGCAGTATCCAGGTGTAGATCTAGAAACACAGGAACAAGACCAAGCCTGCCCGCTTCTCCGTGTTTGCTGACGCCACGCTCATGCCCCGGCAGCCCCTTCGTACACATTTGTGCTCACCTCGCCAACGGCCCCCAGCTGGGGGCTGTGCGCTCGGACTTGCCCGCTCCCTGAGCTCACTAACGTCAAAACCCGTCCTTCTCTCCGACTCAGCCTCTCCTGCCTTCCCGGTCCCTGTCCTGCAGGCCAGCGGCCACCCAAGCTCCCCGCCTGCACCGCCAAGTGTTCCGCGCCCTCGGGGCCCGCACAGGAGCTCCGGATTCTCAGCTAAGCAGCCCGGAGGGTCTTTCCTGCCCTTCAATGTCTTCCACGTGCAGCCAGTTTAAATCCTTTTTTTGGTCGTGTTCTCTGCTTCTTTCCTGTCCTGTTTTTAATTTTTCCTAACAAATAATAAGCAGTGGCTTTGAAAATATCTTACATGGGAACAGTCAACACGAAACATGCCTTTGTACAGGAGCCTGACTCGGGGACGGATCAACAATACCAAAGACGAAAAGAAATACTGATTTGGACAACTCCAGTGCTCAATAGTTCAGATGAGTCCCCCCAACTCCTCCCGGCCCCCCACCCCCCACCTCCCAGGAGTACAGTGTTGTCTTGTAACTGGAGCTTGGCTTAGCCAACGGAGGCTCCCCCTCCGCCCCCCACTCTGGCTGCCGTGGGCCTCTAATGGCCCTGGGCCTTGGGAGGTTTGGGCTCATGGATGACAGCGGCTGCCGACAGCCACGGCCCAATGGCCCGGGCAGTGCTCTGCTTGGCCACGCTGTAGTGGCTGATGACCGTGTAGAAGCGGCTCCTGGAGCTGGGGTCCTGGGATGAGTAGTAGGCGTCCAGGGAGGCCGGGATGCAGCGCTTGTGCTGGGGACGAGAGAGACAGAGTCAGGGGAAGCTCACAGACAGACGGCTTCCAGCCCACCCTGCAACACAGCCACCCCACCTGGGGACCACAGCCAGAGAGCAGGCGACAGCACCCGGCCTGGGCTCCCCAGCATCAACACTGTCACCGCCACCAGCTTCGATGGGAAGAGGGGGGATCGATGCCTTCTCCTCACTGGCATCCAGATTCTGCATATGGCAGCCTCCCTGCAGACTCTCTGAGACGCGGCGTGTGTCTGGCCAGAAGTTTTCGACCTTGTGTGAAGGGCTGGGTCTCCAGTAGGGAGGAGAGCCCCTCCGCAGCAGTAGCCTGATGTTGGGGGGACCGCACATCACCTGCCCCAAGGCCCTTACCTTATAGACAAAGCCCTCAGGGCAGCTGTGGTCGTAGGTGAAGGCTTTGTAAACCACCAGGAACACGATGCAGGCGAGGAACGCGAGGGCCAGGCTGACGAGGATGGTGACCTGGATGGAGACACAACCGACAGTCACCCAGCCTCGGCTTCTGGCCTCGGTCCCCACGCACAGCCTGCGCGTCCTGGAGCTGGCAGGGGTGCGGGGGACCCAAGGACAGGCTCTGTGTCCGCTCTGTCACTGACTTGCAGCATGACCTTGTGCAAACCACCCTCCGGCGAGGACAGAGAGACACATCCTCTACAGCCCAACTTCTGAAACTCCTAGGCTCTCTGGACGTCTTTCACCACCTCCCTCTGGGAGGGCGCCTCACGCACACACCGGGGGCCGCCCCATGGCATCCTCCACAACAGGCCGCTCTGGGGCCCCCACGGGCTGGTCCTGCCATGGCCATGAATCACCTGAGCTCTTGTGACCCCTTCACCCCTCCTCTCAGTCTGTAGACTGCGAGCTTCTCGAGGGCAGGGAGCGTGCCTAGGGGCCTCCTGCTCAGCTTGTGCCTTGGGCCTGCCATGGAGGGCGCCTCAGTCAGCTCCAGAGGACTCTGTCCTTGGCTCCGGCCCAGCCCAGAGCCGGGCCCCAGAGCACAGCCCGGCACTCGCTCTGCCCAGAGGCTGTCCATTCGCGTCCCGGCCTCCACCAGGGGCATGCGCCGTCTCCCTCCCTCCCTCCCTCCTTCCCTCCCTCCCAGCCCAGCATCTGGATGCAGCCCACATCCCCGTCTCCATGGAGACGTCAGCCCTGCAGCCCACGTAGTGCATTCCATTAAGCTACTTTCATTCCTCAATCCCCTTTCTTGGCAGAGGAGTTGATTAAAAAAAAAAAAAGAAAAGAAAGAAAAGAAAGAAAAGAAAGGGAAATCGGGTCAGAAAAATTGGTTTGGAAAATTAGAAATCATCTTCCCCTACTTCCAGTGTGTGGCTCTGGGATATGGGCCAGTGCAGGTGCCTGAGCCCCAGGAGCTGCTCCACGTTGTCCCATAACTCCTGCCCCGGTGACGAATCACACCGGCCGGCGCACGTGGCAGGGTCCTCTGTCCCCTGCACACCAGCCCGCTCTCAGTGTGTTGCCTCTGTCCAGCAGGCAGAAGGGTCTCTACCCAGCCTTCCTCCTCTGCCTCTTCCCGCCCTATTTGCAGACATACACACACTCCCTGCCCCCACCCTCCCAGGAGGAGTCTTGGAGGAGTTTTCACAGAAAACAAGTAACAGAGGGGCCCGAGGCAGCGACCCTTGGGAAGGCGGCCACTGGCTGGCGTCTGGACACTGGGCTGTCCGGAGGTCCCACCGTCCCCAGGACGAGTGCACGTGGCTCGCTCCGCCCAACACGGCACCAACAACATGGGTGACGCTGACAGCTGCCCTCCTTCTGGGAGCCGGGCCCTTGGGTACAAAGCCTGGCGCTAGACAGAGGTGCCCCTGTGAAGAGCCCCCAGTAAAAGCCCTGGGCCCCGAGTCTCTCCTGAGCTCCCCCATTTTCTCCTTCTGTAAAAGGGGAGCAGTGCAGAAAGGCGACCCGAGGTCCAGCAGGTCCCCTGCCTGGCTTCGGTCTGAAACAGGCACGTCAGTAAGCGAGCAGGTCAGGGCCATTCCGGCCATGATGTCATGTCTTGGGTAGAAATGCTGGCTCTCAAACGGCAGGACAGGTCTGGAGAGTGGGCGTCTGCTTTGTGTCTGCCCCTGCTCGGTGGAGTTCCTCCGTGGGGCTCAGCTCCTGGAGAGGGAGGTAGCTTGGCTCGGGGGCCATGCTCCCATATCCAAGACGATGTCATTGGAAAACTTTAAAGTGGACAGGAAGGATTATTAAGTGTGACGTGGTTGTTTGAACTTCCTTATTAATAATTTTTAAACCAGCCCTATAAAGGTTGGTCTTACTATCCCTCTCGTTTTATGAATGAAGAACCTAAAACCTGAGGAAGCCACTTGCCTGAGGAAGCTCAAAGGACGGGGGCTGGAGAAGCAGGGTTTGGACTCAGGTGGATCCCGAAGGTCGTGCGCGCTGCCACTCGCTCTCTGTCCCAGGGGCGCTGCCGCCGGGGCGCCCTGACGGAGGCACAGCCTCCCCCGGCCCCGGACCGAGAGCTTGCCTTATCAGGCTGCTGGTCCGGCTCCCTGGGGAAGCCCCCCGCCCCGCAAACCCATTACAGAGCCCGTTCTCTGGGGCCCCAGCGAATCCAGCTAAGTAAATTGCCTTTTGAAAGAAAAAGGAAAAGGAAACAGCTGTGGTCTCCGACTTTCTAGGAGCAATAATTCAAGAGTCTCTTGCAGAACCCACAGGAGCAACTCCCCCCGGAAGGAAGAGTGGGAGTGAGAACCCCGCCAGAGCCGGAACGCGTTAGTGCTCATGGAGCCCTTAAAAGAGGAGAAACGCAATTTACGTGGGAGCATTTCAGAGCGTAACTCATTCCCCAGTTTAATTTGCTATTGGCATAGTCATTAAAAAGAAGAAATGAGGGTCCAGGGGCCCAGCTTATGAAAGAGATAAATCTCTGGCCCCTGCTGCATTTTCCATTTTGAAAGTTCACGCCATCGGTCAACTTGAACCCGAGGCCATTAAGGCCTTTGACAGCGAGCCTCTTACAGGATGGAGAAGTTGAGGCCTTACTTCACAAGGTTGTGTCTTTAGAAGCTGATAAACGAAAGTCAAATGCAGAATGGAGATCAGAACACGTGCACCTAGACCTGAAGAGCCTGTCAGGAGGGAAGGAGCCAGCCTTTTCTAGTCACCTCCTACGTGCAAGCACCGAGCAGACAGGTGACGACGGTGAGGAAGCCCAGGTGGGAGGAAGGGGGCGTGCTGGGCACCGCGGGGACTGGAGCGGACGTGCCCCCTGCGCCCCAGGCCATTGTGGTCCAGGATGGGGAGGCGGCCCACATCGTGGCTGATCTGCTTTTTCAGGAAAAGACCAAGACCCTAAACTATAAGGGCAACTTCCCAATTTTAAACAGGGGGCAGCAGACACAAATCTATATTTTCATTTTAAACCTGTCAACAGCCTTGTAAAGTCGAAATTTTTAATCCTAACGTGTATAGGAAACAAGGTTTCAGAAAGCGGTTGGTGGCGATTCAGACGGCAGGACCGGCCAAAACCAGGCCTTGACCCCCATCTGTCCCAGAAGGGAGGCGGTGAGGCCCAAGGCGAGTCAGGGAGCAGGACTGGCCTGGGGCTGATTGGACAGTGGGCTCCCAGGCAGTGCCGTGGGCACCTGTGGCCATTTATGGAGCATTTCCTGCAAGTGAGGGAGCAGCTGTCCGTATGGGCGTTACTGGGCACAAGCAGCAACTGTGCGATGAAGCTACGCCCTCCCTGTCTAACTAACTATGGGGGCTCCCCGGAGCCGCTCAGCCAGGACGGGTGGAGCCTCTTCTTCCAAACATTTGCTCAACACACTTGGGTCTTCCTCCCGTCCGGGCTGCGGGGCAAGGAGAGGCCCGGAGCGTCCACTGCGACCCTGCCAGTCACCAGCACTTTGTAAAAAATGGTCCAGACGGGAAGGCCCTCACAAAGTGGACCTCGATAAACCCCAATGTCACCTGGCCCTGCGGTTCCCACTGGGAGTGACTGTGGCTGCGAATCCATCCTGACGTGCAGGCAGGTGGGCTGGGAGCAGATAGGTCGTGAAGTTCACGTACGTATTCATTTACTGTTTAAAAAACGGGAGTCTGCCAAGGGGTCAGGAACGGGCAGCGCAGCGGTTCGGTTTGGGCTGTTCAGAGACTGGGGTGCCGGGGCTTTAAAGGGTTCCAGTGGGGGGCGGGGGGCAGAGCCGGGCTCTGTGGCCAGACCGGCTGTGTGACCTGTGCAAGCGGCACCGCTTCTCTGCGCCGCAGCGTCCTGATCTGCGAAGGGGTCAGTCCGAGCACCCCCGCACCAGGCAGGCGCGCTGCAGGGAGGACTCCCACAGACTGGCTGGGAAGCTGCCGGCGACGCTGGATTTCATTGCCGTCGTTATTGGTGAAATCCATCCCCTAAGCAGCTGCCTGTAGAGCCAATTGCTTGACTTCCTGTCACTAAAATAGCAGGCTGCCGGCTGGACCTCCTAATTGCACCAAAATGGTCTGTTGAGTCACTGCCTTACCGCACCTTCCCGGGGTTTTGTTGGAGCGGGAGTCGGGCCCCAGCCCCTCGCCCCCTCTCCCTGGCTCCTCAGAATGGAAGTGCCTGTCCCTTGTAACAGCTCTGACTCAACAAGGGCGAGCAAGTCGCCCAGCGGACACAAGGAGCCGCACACACAGCCGGCCTGCCGGTCCCCAGAGACCTCTGCCCAGAGCACCAGGGCCAGGGCTTGGAACCCGATGACGTCCCCTTCCTGCCACCAAGTTCCCGCAGCGGCTGCCACCGGGCCCGGTCTGTGTGCTTATTCAATCATGCCCTCTAGCCCTGCCCTCCCAGCGCCAGGCAGGTGGGCTGCGCTGGGCCTCAGGGCTCAGAGGGAGGGGCCGGTGTCCTTGCCTGAGGAGAAGCTGCTCTTTGCCAGGTGGGGGACGAGGTTCCAGTCAGAGCCTCTCCCTGGACACAGAAAATGAAACAGAGAGTGTGGAATGTTCTCGGCTCCAGGCTGAGAAAGCGGGCTTGGCGCCTGCCTGGGCGAGACCTGGGTTGGACTGAGGTTTTTGTTCCCTGGGGGCCCCGCCTGGAGGACCCCCGGGCTTGGCTGCGGACAGGGCTCGATCAGTCCGTGCCAGGTCAGTAAGCGCCACCTAACGAGCTTCCTTCCCCTCATTTTTATTACACCCTCTCTCTTTTTCCAGAAATGACGGAAGGCCACGTGCAGGCTCCACAGTTTCGCCGCCGCTGACCCCCACGGGGAGCTCGCGGTGTGCCCGGTGCTGCCACGAGCATGTGACGGGGTCTCTCTGTTGTGTCTTCACAACCACCCTCCATGGCAGGTGTTGCTATTATGTCCCCACTGTGCAGATGAGGGAAATGGTACCAAATAAAGGGAAGGACTGAGGGTGGCCGTAAATTGGAGGCAGGACTTGTAACAGCGCCCATACTTGCAGCAGCGGGGGCAATAAGTTGGCTCCAGGTTTTCTAGACACCCAACCAA